GAGTCAGATGGCAGAGCGTGCACTCCAGCCCTCTGCCCTCACGCCATAAACCAACAGCTTAAAGGCTTATTCTGCTGTTCTGCATAATCCACTCAGACCATCGGGGCCACCAGGAAAGGACAAAGTAACCCCTATACTCTTGAGAGACATGGGAACCTCAACCTCACCTTCCAGCTTAGGCCCTAGGCCACAGGAGCTAGCTTTAATGGTGGTCAACTTGGTTCAGACCCAGTTGGATGGGCCCAGTTGTAGAACAGAACAGTGTCTCCCCACTATTTTTATTTCTGAAAAATGGCTCTGGATTTCTTTAGCATGTTGATAAATCATTACCCTCGCCCAACAATTCTAAGGCCTAAACTGAGCTTTCCTAGGACAATCATCTCAAAAGTTTTAAAGGAAAAGTTGCTATATATATTTAACCATCAGTGATGTTGGTAAAGTGGTATGCAAACGTGGTATGGTAAGATGGAGTGGATGATGAGAGAGAGGGAGGGAGAGAGGGAGGGAGGAAGAGTCCATTTGGAAGGAGAATGTCAGCTGAGCCCATCTTTGGAGCATACATTCACCCTCTTCCAGCATCAAACACCCTGATTTCTTATTCAGAAACCATGGTGTGTCACTGGGACTGCAGCAGGGCAAGTCTGACTTCAGGCTCCAGAGGTGGTCACCATCCATCGAGGGCCTTACCCCTGGGCTATTTCTCCTCCATCCACTGTGATTGACTCAGGAAGGTACAGTTGACCATGGCTATTCTAGGAAATCTCCCCTGGTCTTTGCTGGGACTCTCAGCAAAGAGGTGTTCTCTTCACCCCTGGGGTTGCAAAGCTGGTAGAAGGGTCTAGTGTCTTCTCCATGGAGAGTACCTGCTCAAGAGTGAAGTTCACATGAGAGCGGACTCATGTGAAAAGTAGGGCAGGGGAAGGGCAGGGCTTGGAGCCTGTAATCCCAGTGGCTCGGGAGGCTGAGGCAGGAGGATCCAGAGTTCAAAGCCAGCCTCAGCAAAAGCGAGGCCCTAAGCAACTCAGTGAGACGCTGTCTGTAAATTAAAAAAAAAAATTAAAAAGGGCTGTGGATGTGGCTCAGTGGTTAAGTGCCCCGAGTTCAATCCCTGGTACCAAAAAAAAAAAAAAAAAAAAAAAAAAAAGAAGTGGGTAAAGATGCCCATCTTGCTGGCCTACTGGCCAATCTGGAGTCTCTGGCTCTGCGTGGCTAAAGCTGGGCCTACTTCTGGCCTGTTCAGTTATTTGAGCAAATATCTCTTTAGCCTAAAGCTAAAGCCAATTTGAGGTGGGAATTGGAATTCAAAGAATCCTAGTCCAAAAGGCTTACTGGGGATACACCAGCCCCCAGAGTCAGGTGGGGAAGGTACTAGCTTTCCCACAGCCCAGGAGTGATTGGAGACGGAGAGAGGGAGGGGTGATGGATCTGGAGCTCAGCTAGGCTAAGTATGAATCCAGATCCCTGGACTGAGGACCTCTCCTTCAGAGGATCAGACTTCTCGAGAAAAGTGAATCTGAGACTCTCCAAAGCTTTACTAATGAAGACAGCAGTTAGATCATTAACGCCCCACGTTCTCTCCTATGTTACTCAAATCCTAACATTAAACATTCAGTAATTTCTTGTTGGCCTGCATTCTCACGAGACCCAAAAGAAGCTCTTTCAAATAAACCAGACGCTGTAAAAGAAAATATCGGGATCACTTTAGATATCATGACTATTCCCAGAGACTCATTAGACTGGTGACGACTATTAATTTTCAAATTTAATTAACAGAAATGGCACTTTCTTTTAATTTGTGTCATTAGTCAAATGAGCTCCCTAATTAAGATGTGCAATCTACAAATTTATAAACTCCAGTGAATGAGTCTAAACATGGAACCACTGATAAGGGTCTGTTCTGACAAGGGTTCTCACATTTCTCTCCCACTGGCTTTCAGAACTTGAAAAAGAGGGAGAAATTAATTTCATTACCAGGCATTTTCTAGACACAATCTTCGGTTAGATATACTCAAGTTAGTCCCTGCCATACATCACTATGATTCCAAATTCCATTTCTACTCTCCATGAAATTCAACTGAAAAATTGCATGACATCAGATAAAACAGCAAGACCAATGCTCACTGACAATAATGGATGCTAATTGCAAAAGTTAAAAAAAAAAAAAGATTTAAATTTGCACAAGTATAAAAATGACCTCAACTTTTTTTTTTCTTCTTTTTCTTTTTTTTTTTTTTTTTTTTTTGGCACCAGGGATTGAACTCAGGGGCACTTAACCACTGAGCCACATCCCCAGCTCTATTTTGTATTTTATTTACAGACAGGGTCTCACTGAGTTGCTTAGCGCCTTGCTTTTGAGGAGGCTGGCTTTGAATTCAAGATCCTCCTGCCTCAGCCTCCTGAGCTGCTGGGATCATAGGCGTGTGCCACTACACCTGGCTAAAAATGATCTCAACTTCTAAAACAGCTTCATATAGAAATCCCATCAAGGAAATATTGTGTAAAACGAGTCTGTGGTTGGAACCAACAAATATCCAGAAACAAAGGTTGTTTACTGTTAAATGCTACTCAGCAAACCAGTTGATACTTTCACAAGATCTACTGCAATCATGCTCCAGTCTTGCCATGAAAGAAGGAATCAAATACTTCAATCAGTGAGGAGAGTTTTACCAGATCAGGATCTCTCAACTAAGATGTCAATCAATTACCATATTGAAAGCAATTGTGGATTGAATTGGCCAATGGGAAGATTGATGGTGTGCTTAGAGCATCTGAGGGGCAGGAGCTCCAACATATTTGTTCTGAAATAATTTTCTGTCTAATGATGGAAGGAAGGAGAGCTGGAGGGAAGGAAGGAAGAAGAAAATTAACGAAGCAATCCTGTTGGGGCAAGGATCCGATGGTGTCGGATTTTAGTACACTTGTTTCACAATTATTATTATTTTGAATTGCACATGGCATCATGCCATCAGCTTTTGGTGTTTAGGAGTTAGAATCTAATGGTTTTAATCTAGCCTTGAGGGTGGATAAGAAATCTGGGACATAGCATTCCAAATACAGATAATATTTATCTGGTTCACATTAACATAGATTAGGACATAAAGTAAAATGTCTTTAAAGGTCTACGTAGTCATTTCTGAAAATATGCATGTCAGGAAAACATTGCCAATGGGAAGGTAGGGTATGTCTGCTTCTTTTTTTAAAAAAACTTTTTTAAAAAATTGGTGCTTTATAATTTTTTAATTGGTGCTTTATAGTTTTACACAATAGTAGGTGGGGTGCATTGTTACATGTTTGTGCATGCACACAATACAACAATACAAATGGGTGGATTTCATTTCCCAGGACCTCCCCTTTCCTTCCTCTTGCTCTCCTTCTTCTGCTCTGCTAGACCACTTCATTTTCATAAAACCACCCCCCTGCCATTTCCCCCCCTTTTCCCTCTCTGTCTTCCACATATGAAAGAAAGCATACAACCCTTCACTTTCTGAGTTTGGCTTATTTTGCTTAACATAATGCTCTCGAGTTCCATTCATTTTCCAGCAAATGGCATGCCTATTTCTTTAATGATGGACAAAGACAGATAATATCCACATTGAGAAAGAATACTTATAAAACTTAAAATTACTGGTGGAGCGGGCATGGTAGCACACATCTGTAATCCCAGTGGTTTAGGAGGCTGAGGCAGGAGGATCACGAGTTCAAAGCCAGCCTCAGCAACTTAGCAAGCCCTAAGCAACTCAGTGAGACCCTGTCTCTAAATAAAATATAAAATAGGGCTGGGGATGTGGCTCAGTGGGCAAGCACCCCGAGGTTCAATCCCTGGTACCAAAAACAAAACACTTGAATTTTTTTTTTTTTTTTTTTTTTGCAAATCCCATATATTAATAAATAAACCTTGGAGACCCAGTGGTAAAAATAAATCTGAGATACATACTCAGGAGAGATACATTTTTCTTCAGATAAGTACTGCATTTTGGACAGAAAGCATCTCTAGGAAGTAACCATCATATGGCAGCATTTTAATAAAAAACACAAGGGAGATTGTTAAGCCACCATCCTTGGGAGGCACAATTACCCCTTTTATTTTTTTCATGTTTTATATTTTTCTTTTTTATTTTTTTCTTTTCTTTTGTGGTTCTAGGAATCAAATTGAGTCTGGGGTGCTTTACCACTGAGCTATATTCCCAGATTTTTTTTTCAATTTTTAATTTGTTTTCCAATTATGTTTTAGAAAAAGTCTTTCTTAAAATTTTGAGACAGCGTCTTGTTATATTGCTTAGGGCCTTGCTAAATTGCAGAGGCTGGCCTTGAACTTGCAGTCCTCTTGCCTCAGCATTCAGAGCCACTGGAATTACAGGCATGCATCACCATGCACAGCTACCTTAGAAATGGTTTAGGCTGTAAAAAAAAAAAAAAAAAAAAAAAAATGCTGTGGACACAAAGTCTTAGCTTACAACATTTTAACAGCTACATGACCTTGACTAACTGATTTAATTTCGTTGAGCCTCAGTTTCTTCATCAGTAAAATGAGACATTTAGCAGGATCTAACTCATAAGCATGTTACCAATCCTATTAAAAACACTCAGCACAAAAAACTGTTAGAAAATGGTAGTTTGGCTGAGCAAAGTGGCACACAYCTGTAATCCCAACAACTTGGGAGGTTGAGGCAGGAGGATCTCAAGTTGGAGGCTAGTCTCAGCAACTTAACCAGATCCCTTTTCAAAAAAAGGGCTGGGGATGTGGCTCAGTGGTTAAGCTCCCCTGGGTTCAATCTCCAGCATCAGAAAAACAACAATAACAACAAAACCACAGTAGTTGGTACTTGTAGTGTCCCTAAAGCAAAATGCCATTATTCCTTAACATTGTAACAAATCACCACCCCCTTTGCCTCACAAGGGATGACCCCAGAGGCTCTGGTTCCTTGTCCTAATAGCTCAGAATTCCTGCGCCCAGGGCCTGGGCAGCCTGGGCCTTGGGCTGCTTGCTTGGTGATTCTCACCTCGTAGTAACTCTGCACTGCGTTCATGAAGGCTTCGTCCGCCACGATCTGCGTCTCCCCATTGAGGAAGGCCTGGAAGCGGTCCTTGACGGTCTGCAGCTGCTGTTTGCTGATCTGCAAGAAACCAGAAACAGRAGAAATGAGGGCTTGTTTAGGGCAAGGCTAGTTAATGGTGACTTTCCACCAAAGAGGCCAGACATTAGCAGGAACCACTAAAACGTCACCCAAATCCCAGTTAAATAAACTGCCTTAGAAGCAAAGGTAACACAGAATACATGTGTCAGACTCCATAGTAATTGCCCTTGTTTTCCCAAATCTTCCTTTTATGGGGCTTTTGTGGGGTTACTTCTTTTGGGGAGTAGCGGGAACGGGGGAACGAACTCAGGGGCACTTGACCACTGAGCCCCATCCCAGCCCTTATTTTGTATTTTATTTAGAGACAGGGCCTCACAGAGTGGCTTAGGACCTCACTAAGTTGCTGAGGCTGGCTTTGAACTCACAATCCTGCTGCCTCAGCCTCCCGAGCCACTGGGATCTTAGGCGTGGGCCACCATGCCTGGCGCAATGAACTCACTTCTAACTCACTTTGTTGAAGCTTTCCTATTCTGACCCAGGGATATTGTAAGTGGAGATGAAGAGAAAATCACAGTTATTTTGAATGTGCTTGAAACCATTTGAGCTAAACTATGAGGCAACAATTCATTTGCTCATAAAAATGCCACCCTAACATGAATTTATTTTTTGCAGTCCGGACATAACTGACTTCAGTCACAAATCCTTACAGAACAGAACAGAGCAAGGCCATGCACAGAATTTCTTGCTCAGAATTCCTTCCAAGCAGGGTCAGGCCCAGCTCTGCAACATTTTGGGGGGTGAGTTGGGGTAATGGAGCAGGAGAGAACAATAAATTTTGCTTTTGTCTTAAATGCTTAATTTCTTTTATGCTATTTATTTGTTTTCTTATTGGTTATTTTTAGTTATACATGACAGTAGAATCCATTTTGATATGATTTGGGGTATAGAATATATCCTTTTCTAACTAGGACCCCATTTTTGTGGATGTACACGATGGTGGGATTTACTGTGAATTCATATATCTTCACAGACAAATTGTGTCAGATTTATTCCATATCTTTTCCAGTCCCATTCCACTCCCTTCCCTTCATTCCACTTTGTCTAACCTATCGAACTTCTATTCTTCCCCTCCCTACCCTTCCTTGTTGTATGTTAGCTTCCAAAAGTTAGAGAAAACATTCGACCTTTGATTTTTTGGGGGATAGCCTTATTTCACTAAGTATGATCATCTCCAGTTCCATCCATTTACCAGCAAATGCCATAAAGTCATTCTTTTTTATTGCTCAGTTATATTCCATTGTGCATATATATACAACATTAAGTGCTTAATTGAAATAAAACCATATAGCATCATTTGAATAATGATGATTATTTGATGACCCAGGACAAATCCACTACCTGTCTAACCTTCCATTAGATGTGCATGATGTTCATTTATTCACAAATAATTGCAAAGCAACTACCATTTGCCTCTCCCTGCACCAGGACCCATGCTTTGGTGTTCAATAAAATATACTCAACCCCTGATCTCACTGACCAGGATCAGGCACTGGAAATCAAAACAAATAAGGGTTTCTCCTCAGGGATTCTGCAGTTCAGATGAAGAGGGAAAAGCATATGAAGAATGCATTTTTTTTTTTTTTTTTTTTAGGATTTCACAGGAGAAATTACAGAGTACCAAACTTTGAAAAGAGAAAGAATCTTCAGGAACATTGATTTCAATCAAGGTCAGAGAACACACACCACAAATCCACACAAAACATCTCACATTTCCCTCAACGAATCAGCTCCCAGCAGCAGGGGAGTGAAGGGTGGGGATTTGGATGGCAGAACTGTCTTGCCCCCTGCACATGCACATCCACTACTTTCTCACCACCAAGTAAACAAGCATTGAGTTCATTCAGTCAGCTYTCTGGGTGTGTCGCTGGAAAAACCTCAACTGCTTCACCTGTATAATGGGCCAGCACTGACCTTGGGGTGTGCTCATGATGATTAAAACAATCAGCACAAAAATTGGCACAGAGTTATCCCACGCCGCCGCATATACCCAGAGGACTTAAAATGAGTGAACTACAGGGATGCAGCCACACTGCCGTTTACAGCAGCTTGTTTTAGTCACCATTTTTCCTGCTATGGCTTAAAGACCCGACCAGAACAACGGTAGAGAAGGACAAGTTTACTTAAGGGCTCATAGTTTCCAAGTCTCAATCCATAGACAGCTGGCTCCATTCCTCGGGGCTCAAGGGGAGGCAGGACATCATGGAGGAAGAGTGTGGTGGAGGGAAGCAGCTCACATGGTGATCAGGAAGCAGAGAGAGACTCCACTCTCCAGAGACAAATAGAGACCCCAAAGCCACGCCCCCAATGCCCCCTCCTCCAGCCACACCCACCTCCTCCAGCCACCACCCAGTTAATCCCATCAGGGTCCATTCACTGGTTGGACTAAGGCTTTCATTATCCAATCATTTCTCCTCTAAACCCTCCTGCATTGTCTCACACGTGAGCTTTGGGGGGATACCTCCCATCCAAACCACAACACAACTCCATTCACAATAGCTAAGCTATGGAACCAACCTAGGTGCCCTTCAACAGATGAATGGATAAAGAAAATGTGGTCTATATATACACAATGAAATATTATGCAGCCATAAGGGAGAATGAAATTATGGCATTTGTTGCTAAATGGATGGAGCTGGAGAGTACCATGCTATATGAAATAAGTCAATCCCCAAAATCAAAGGCTGAATGTTTTCTCAGATCCTAACTCACAATAAGGGGGTGAGGAGGCAAGAATAGAAGTTCACTGGATTAGACAAAGGGGAATGAAGGAAAGGGAGGAATAGGAAAGATAGTGGAATGAATGGGACATCATTTTTCTATGTTCATATATAAACACACGACCAGTGTAACTCCACATCATGTACAACCACATGAATGGGAAGATACATTCCATGTAGGTATAATATGTCAAAATACACTCTATTATCATTATATGTGAAAAGGACAAATAAAAAGTGTTAAATAAAAAAAACTCTCATATCAAAATAAAGAACATCACCCAGAACTCAGAAACACCTTCAGGTCCCCAAAGTCATTTGCAAAGCTGACTATGAGTCTCACATCTATCATCCTAGGTTAGTTCTGCCTGGTTTTCAACTTGCTACCTGTGCAACATACATGATGAGATTTGTCCAAGTTTGCTCAAACTCATTGCTGAGTGGTGTTCCAACACAGGATTCCACCATAACTGACCACTTCATCAGTTATGGTTAGCAGGGCTTTCTTTATTTTCAAACTGTGCTGACTTTTCAATGTGCACCCATCCACAAGAGGAATACAGGTACAAGAGCCACATCCATCTTGCACTCTGGTAGCTTCTACTGCATGGCACACCATGGACTCTAACCAAGGTTTGCTGAATGCAGGCATTAACTCACTCCATGGTTACTGCATACCAGGCTCTGGAGATGTAAAATGGCCAAGGCACAACCTTAGCCCTCAAGTCACAGATCACAGGTTCATCTTGGACCTCCTAGCATTCTTCGCCAACTGCAGGAGTGAATGGAAAATCTTACCTAGCAGCTCTTAAAACACAGTGAGCCTGAGAATTAATCCGTGGGGCAGAGTTGATCTCTGGGTAACCTAGATAGGATTGAACCCAGAAGGTGATCTTACAGGAACAAACTAAAATAATTGGCCCAGAGCAACTGACGCCAGGTGTACAACTCTAGATAAGCAGGATTCTGCAAGCTGTGTACAGAGAGAACCCTCTGGAAACAGAAGTCCAGTGGGCGGCATTTAATATGGATAGAATCCACTTGGGCATCGAGGCCAGAACTGGGAGTTGCTGTAATGCGTTCCAAGAGCAGAAAACCTGAAAAGATGAAAGGTAATTATGGCAGAGGAAAGTGTGGCTGCAGCTTTTGCTAGAACTATTCAAGCGCCCTTGCTTCAGTCTACCTCATTAATCAAGTACTGAAAAGTCCCATTGCATTTCGGCCATCTGCAATCTGCTCACCACTCTTCCTCCATGATGTCCTGCCTCCCCTTGAGCCCCGAGAAATGGAGCCAGCTGTCTATGGACTGAGACTTGGGAACTATGAGCCCTTAAGTAAACTTTTCCTCCTCTTATTGTTCTTGTCAGGTCACAGCAGTGAAAAAAAAAAAAAAACTGATTAAAACATGGACCTATGGTGAAAAAAACCACATGTTCTAAGTGCTGGTCTCAGGAAAGAAAGTCAAATTCAGAGTGAGGAAGAATCCTGGCTTTACTACAAGACCTTGGAGAAGTAGTTAACTTTGTTTTTTTTTTTTTTGGCTAAAAACCAGGGAATGGTGCTATCTGCTTTCTGGTTGCAATGATCAGAAGAGAGAATATATGTGAGGTACAAAGACTAGAATCCAGCATACAGTAAGAACATGATAATGAAAGACATACTGAAAGTATTTCCTTTGTTTTTCTTTTTCCCTTTTCTTCATCTTTTATCTTCTTTTCGTGCTCTCTCTCTTTTTTTTAATCTACTCAGTCTTTTTTTTTGGTACCAGGGATTGAACCCAGGGGTGCTTAACCACTGAGCCTCATCCCCAGCCCCATTTTGTATTTTATTTAGAGACAGGGTCTCCCTGAGTTGCTTGGCACCTTGCCATTGTTAAGGCTGGCTTTGAACTCAGGATCCTCCTGAGCCTCCCAAGCTACTGGGATCATAGGTGTGTGCCACCATACCTGGCCTACTCAGTGTTTTGAGGTATATTAACATAGTGTTCTTTACCTCCTTCTTCTTCCACCCTCCCTTTTGAGAATCTGGAAAACCCTATACTCCTGTCCCAGTCACCCTCAAAATTACAGGTGACCATGTGACACAGTCAGACAACTATTGGGGAACTTTGGAGAAACACCCTGGTTAAAAGGAACACACTTAGTGATATTGCCCTGTGCTACCCAAATACATTGTCCAGAGCTGGGGTGTCTATCTTGCAATCATGAAGGTAGGCCAAAAACATCATGGGGATGTTGGCCTTTACATTTAACAGTTGAACTT